GTGTGTGTGTGCATGTACATGTACATGTATTTCATTTAAAAAGTCCCTTCTCTCATATTTTCAATTCTTATTCCTTTTCTGTGTACATGTAAATGCTTGATATTTTGTCTTTCTCCTTCTTTCTCTCTCCCTCCCTCCCTCTCTCCCTCTCTCTAGGTATCAGGGTTATCATTGGGGCAGTCGGTTGATGACTTATCAATTGCTTATTTAGCAACTATGCAAGCTCTGGCAGTAAGTTTATCTTAAAACCTCCTCCCATCCTCTCCTTATTGCAATTCCAGCATATCCCCTAACTATCCATCCACATACAATCTATATTAATGTACATGTACATGTGCTTGTTTTTGCTTTACTCTTCCTTAATCTATTTCCAGTCTTTTTCCTTCCTCTATCTGTTTACTTTCATCACTCATTAATCTTACCACTCAAGCACTCATTCACTGATACATACAGTATGTGTGTGTACATACATTAAGTGCATGTACACATGTACACTATACCTATGGTGGTTAAAGTGGTGATTGTGTACTGTTATTGTATTGTGTACTGTTATTGTATTGTGTACTGTTATTGTATTGTGTACTTTTCCTTTCTCTCCCCAGCCTTCCTGCTTTTGGTAGTAAACTCCTCATTATACTTTAGCTCATATATAGCACTTGTTGTCTGTAGATTTCTCTCTCCTTTTCCAGACCTCAACTTGTCTACTCATTATGGACTCTCCTAGCTGCTTGTTACTGCTTGAATGCCCTTTTGCCATCATGTGCATAACCTGTCTACACATGTGCCTGCACTCACCACCTGTGACACTGCACAATAGACTAACAATTAACTCATCAAGTGTCAAAGGTCAACCAACCTCTGACACTGCTGAATGTGGTATTGGTTCTTATGAATTATTGAAAGGAGCTCGTGACATAATTGGACCCTACAATGAGTCCCTCCCTCTGACCTCTATAGTATTATTATATCCACCTACAATTATGTCATTATAAACATATTTATTCATAATACCTTTATATGTACATGCGCAATGTATTTGTGTGTTCTACATTCATGATTACAGTTCCCTTTATTCTCTCTCTTCTCAGTCTTCATTCTCTCTATTGATATCTTACTTTCTCTTCCTTTCTCCTATGCATGTACTTATATAGACAGACAAATACATCTATTGCATGACATTATAATAACTGAAATTCATGAGCCTGACTTCCTTTAGTTCCAGGAAAGTATATCCATCAATCCTAAGCTTGCCTGGTTGTGTAATCCAATTATAATTAGAGCACGTACTTCATTATGTGTCTATTATTAAATTTGTCTTACATAGTGGAATATATATTGCCTGTCTGGTATACTTCCTTTTCTTTACCATAGCAGTGAATGAGTGAATGGTATATACGTGCAGTGTCTAGTGTAGTGTATACTTCTGAGTCTAGTGTGTGGTATGTATTATGTACATATGTACATCTGTTCTTATCATTTCTCTGAGTCTGTTTCTAATGGTTGTGTCTGACTTGTATTTGGCTGTGTCTATCAGGAACTGTGTGTGTGTAGTTGTATGTCTAAAAGACGATCTCTTCTCCCTTGATATGCTGATAAATATAGACCTTTGGGAGCTGAAAATGAATGATGACAAGAGAGAGGTCTGGTTAAAAACTTTAAATAAGTTTTGTTTTTAGTGAAGCGTTGATGTGCTAACGTACAGAAAGCAACCTCTGTTTAATAGTATAGAATCTACTTCACATGTACACATGCAACTACTCACGCATCTACAATGTACATGTATGTATACATCCAGCAATGAAGTGAACAAACCTAACCAATAAAGCCAATTTTATATACATGTGTGTATGTACATGCATCGCCTGTACATAAAAACCTCATTTTGATTCATAGGCTTTCTTCATTGGATCCTTATTAAATCTTATGGCGGCCTCTCAATAATTACTGTCACTTCCATACAAATACAATGTAGATTCTTGATTTATCTGACGTCATTTTCTCTATCTATTCTCTCTTGCTTCCTCTCTGATATGATATAGTTACAATGCTTCTTATATTGTCACCATATTACAGTTCCACTCAATACTGTATACAATATAGCTCTTTGTGTGTGTGTGTGTGTGTATTGTAATATAATTTATAATTTATTATTATTATTATTATTAAGACTGTGGCTCGCCTCCTGCATTTCTAGACAATTAACATCATCGAGTGTTGTCTGATTGTGGTGTGTGTATAATAAATAGGAATATTCATACATAATTAGCAGATTACTACTGGATATACACACCTCTATTGTTATATGGTCTGTTTCCTCATGTCTGGAATCATGATATCATTCTTATTATTATTATAAAGGTCCTGCATGCATCCTTGTATTAAATGTTAAGCATGTATCTTATTGGCTGTACGGCCCAAGGAATGGGCCACACATAAACATTGTCTGCAATGTGAAATTACATACACCCGGAGTGCATGTATATTATGTACTTGTGTTAAGTATACTGGAGCAATCTTACAAACGACACAAAACAATTTTTGCCCTATTTTTTAGCTGAGAGCCTACCTGTTCCTGCTACTAATGTAAGAGCTACTCCAGGATCAACTACTGCTGCTATATCATTCATAATACCTAACATTGCCTATACACCTGAAACCTACAGTGTTAAGTATACTGGAGCAATCTCACAAACAACACAAGCAACTCTATCATAAGAATGAGCTCCAGCAACATTAGTACTATTAATGAAGAATTTACAATCATGTTGACTGGCCTTGAGGAAGATAACACTTGTACATATACAGTTGATTCTACCAATTGTCTTGGTACATGTACAAAGCATGCATGCATACATGTGAAATGACGTACATGTACATGTACTAGCTGTACTGCCTGTACATGCATTGTATGATATGTATTATACATGTACACGAACAGTCCCTTACCGAATGCACACATGTACATGTACATGTATACTCATTTACATGTATTTTAAAAGCGGATGTGTACATGTATACTTTACTCATTACATGTTTTAAGTATTATTTTTTTGTACATGTACATGTATCTTAAACAAGTGGGGGACGATGTGAACCATCTTTTACAATTTGTGATCAACGTTTTAGACTGTTGGTGTTTCCACAGTGAGTGCATGTGTGCTTGCATGCAGTGTTATATTATTGTTTATTATTATGTAATGACACATGCATTTATATATCATTATCGTTTGTTTATACACAGCTATACATGGAGCTACATTTTATGTAATAAATCATGATCTATCATGCCCCCATCACTTAGATATTGTGTAACTAACTATCAGCCTACTATTAAATTATTACATATGATCATGAGATAATGTACATATACTTATATCATTCCTGCTTTAATAATGTATTTCATTCATTCATTCATTGACACGTGAGGCATATCTTAATGCAATGGTCACTGAGTTCATTTTCCCGTTATCCTCAGTTCCTCACCATTCTCTGCATGATTTACACATTTTGTTTGTTTTTTGTTTCCTTTGGTGAGTCTGGTTTTGGGATTGAATAATGATGTAGTATCTAAAGGGTATTGCTTGTAATAGATAAATGTACACACGTGTGCTTATAAACTGTGGCCCACATGTGTTTGGTACCTTTTCACAGTCACACCTGTTCTTTCCTTTCTTGCTAATACTCGATATAACACTACCACATGTTGTGTGTGTTTATCACATATGTCTCAAATGTACCTTCACAATTGCAATTGCATAATTTAAGACATCCTCTCTTTCTTTCTCTTCTCTCTGTCTGTCTCTCTCCCTGTCTCTCTCTTTTTTTCTCTCCCTCCCTCCCTCCCTCTCTCCCTCTCTCTCTCCCCCCCTCTCTCTCTCTCTTTCTCTTTCTCTCCAGTACAACACAAAACACATTATAGAAGCAGCTGAAACTTCTTCCGAAGAAACCCAAAAAGAAGGAAAGGGAAAAGGCAGGGAAGGAACAGTGAAAGTTTTATTTATATGTGGTGGACTTTCCAGTAATCCCATCTTCCTTCATACACAGTCTGATATCACAGGTAAGGGACTGAGCATCACTCAGTCAGATCCCTACAACACAAAGCTCTGATTTAACACTTTATACAGGAAATATCCACATTCCCTGTTGCATCCTAGAAGTAACACAAATGGGCACAGTCTGTGTATAAACATTGGCCAAAGGAAAGGTGTATTTTACATTAGCAGGAAACCCAAAGAGCTTAATTGATTTACATCTATTGCATATACTCAATGTCAGTGGTATTACCTTGTAAAATGGCAGCTGCTCCTTATTCTGAGTATAAGTCAATTCTCCTTTTTCATTTATCTTTTCATCCTTTCATTAGTGGCTTAAGGTGACCTTTCTATAAAGGGGATCTTAATCACTCACTGACTGTTGCATTGTTATTGAAAAGCTAGTCTCTGTTTTTATTTGCTTCATGTTCCTGTTGCTGTTACGACTTCCACTTATGCCTCTCTTATCAATATTTTTTGTTATTCTAACCTCCTTTCTTGTGACATGTGGCCTGCCGTGATGCTATTCTGAGTTACCCTTTGATCCAAGCTTGTTTTACAATGATTATGTTAGTGACAGTCAGTCTGCTTGTTTGATGCATTATGCTTAAGATATGAGTGATGATGTAGACCCTTGTGCATGCTTTCATCTTTTATAAGGTATAGCCCAGTGTGTAGCCTCCTGTTTTTCTTATCTTTGTGATGTGAGGAATATGAGATAAGTACTTTATAGTACCAGGAGTCATAACATGTACATGTACTTAAATGGTATGATTTTTGTGAAATGTAAAGATAAAAGAGAGAGTATTTACTATAAACCTTGTGCCTCTGTGTGTGTGTGTATGTGTGTACATGTGAACCGTATGATTGTTTGTGTATATTCCTTGATGAATCACTTCATGTGTGTGAATGTGCAAGTGTGTGTGTGTTTTTGCTCATTGTGTCTTTTTGGCTGTTGATAATTCTTAGTGACGTTTCATTTGCATACAATTTTATTAATTTGGCATTATTTTGTTCATTTATATATATATATATATATTATTATTAATACCATTGTTATTATTATTATTTACTATGCTAATACATGTCTGTCCATCCTGTAGGAAGTCTAGTTACTGACATTATGTCTATTGTATACTTCCAATTGCTATATTTAGTCAAACCTCACAAACCTCAATAGCTCCTATAGATCTAATCTCATACATAGTACACAATATATCTCTAGTAAATAAAGAGTTATTGTGAATGGGGAGTCTGTGTGAATATTTCATCCAATTAGTGAAGCATTTCCTGGCGATAGTAAGCGATTCCAATACAGTTCATATACTTGTACACACTTTGTGAGAGCGAATGTGTGTCTATTAGACAGATCAAAGATGTGTATTGTTAGTTTAGTGAATGCCCACAGAATTTCCTGTACTTGTACTAATGCTGTAGTAATGATTATATGCTTACCACACACTTAGAATTATAAAAATTGATGTATTATGCATGTATGCACAAAGTTTCCAGGCAATTCTGTCATGTAATTTTATTGTCATTAATGATTTAATTTTATTATTTAAATTTTAAGGGATTACATTATGTAATGTGTAGCTGTATAGTTCAATACACTAATTCTATTCCCTTTATAACTTTCAATAATGCTTCATTTATTAATCCTTTTCTTTATCTGTGTAGGCTTGCCTGTTGTGGTGCTCAGTGATAACAGAGATGCTGTCCTACTGGGATCAGCCATATTGGCAGCAACTGCTTCAACAGGAGAGGTACATAATAAATGATAAGAATATAATTCTGTTCTCTCTCTCTCTCTCTCTCTCCCCTCTCTCTCACTCTATCCCCTCCTTACTTTTGTATCAATTTCCTTTATTAAGTTTTGTCTCATCTTCTTGTAATCTTTCTCCATCGCTCTTCCTTAGGATGTTTCATTAATTATGGCAAGGATGTCCTCCATAGATCAAGACAAAGTTATATATCCAGACAAAACGCCCTCACTGGTGAGGTAAGTAAAAACCAATCAACACTCTATCATTATGCCTGATTATTATAAATACAATGACATCATCACCTTGTCATCTTATGTGCCACATTTATAGATTTCACCAATCGAAATACAAAGTGTTTAAATTCTTATACGAAGACCAGTACAAGTACAGGAGGATAATGAACGAAGGAGGGGTGATGTGAGAGCGAGAGAGGGGGTCAATTTTGTACTTTGTAGTTTGTATAATGGAATTACATGTATACTTTAACGCGTAATTTTACATTTTATGACATCGTACTCTTTGACGTCAATCATTTGCGTACGCGTAACGTATTAACCTAATTATTCATTACCCACCCACCCTGAAAAAAGTATAAAAAGGACAGTTCTGTCAGATTTCTCTCTAACAAATTAGTAGTTTATCTCAACGTTCGCTAAAGAGAAGAAAAGAAAGCCTACTTGTCTTTTTTGTCAGTCTATCTCGAAGGATTTGCATTACATAAAACAGCTATAACTATGATGGCGCTTTTGCAAGAACACAGTCTCTACGATGACAACACTCCCTCTGTCTCCTCTACGTCTTCATCGTCCTCTGGCGTCTTGCCATACGAGAAACAGATCCCAGTCGGAGTTGGCTCAAACATGTACCTGGACTTGAAGAGTCAGAAGCATCAGGTCCTCTCTACCCCAGACGTCTCTGTATTTGCTCTCTCTACCCCAGAGGTCCACAACTTGCTCTCATCCTCAACATCAACTTCAGTCACATCCTCACTCCACCGTTCACCCTCCCGTCACTACCCTACCCATCCGGGCCACCCAATCACAATGGAGCAAGAGTATTATGCCAAGGGGTTCCTGGATCGATTCGAGGCCCTCCAAGCTGGTGATGTTCACAAGCCCCTCCACCCATCCCACACCACCCTCTCCGATAACTCCATGTATTCCTCGTATGCTCCCGGCTCAAACCCATCCCTAGAGGCCGTTGCTCCAACGTACGTCACCGCCACACTCGATCATATCCCTAATTTTTCGATGACGACGCAAACGACCTCCGAAAGCACCACTTCCTATCCGGTGTCCTCGCAGCACGATGTGTATTACTCAGATGCTTACTCTCTCCCTTCTTACCCACGTCACGAGGGAGCCCTAATGGGAGGATTCCCGATGATGGCCTCAGCAGGAGGTGTGGCGGTCTCCGCTCAACCTATGTACTCTGTCATGGAGCCTCATGTCGTTGGTCACGACGTCTTGAAAGAGATGTCCATGGTCCCTGACCTACAGACACAGGAGCAAATGAAAGTGGAGAGGAAGAAGGCAAGGAACAGGATCGCAGCATCAAAATGTCGCACAAGACGCCTACAAAGAGAGTCTGATCTCGAGAGCAAAGTGAAAATCCTCAAAGATCACAACAAGGAGTTAAATGATGAAGTCAGTGGACTAAAGAAGCAGATATCAAGCTTGAAGAAAGCTTTGTCCCAGCACGCTAGCACTGGATGTCAGATTAATATCTCGCCGAGTTCTCTACCAGGCCATTCAGGGAGCAACGCATAATCTCGTCTTGTGTTTGTCTGTCAAAGTGGAATTTTAAAACTGTTTAGCTCTTGCATTTCTTTCTATATCTCTCTCGTTTTAATTTTGTACACCACTGAAACCTTTTCCTTTCTTTCTCTTTCGCCCTCGATAACTCGAAAGCAGTTGATTGCTTTCAATCGAATTTATTATTTTTGTATTCAGAACACATGCAATTAACACAACAATATTTGAAATGTGTGTCATTCATTCCCTGTGATATAATGACTTAAAATTTTTTTGTATAATAAAAAATTATCATTATTTTCATAAAACAGTTGATATTTTCATTAAATCCGCCACAGTAACCATCTAATAGAAATGCTTATTCATTATACACTGTACAATAATCTTAATTGCATTTTGTGGTACAAGGTAGGCAGCATCCTGTTGTAACTAGCGAAGCCAATAAGAATTTCCTTTCTTTAAACCAATATCCGGTGACCTCTATACGATGAATATTGTTTTGTGGTCACAGCACACACTCCGCCATCTCTGACATCATAACTGACATTCCAATCCCCCTTTCCTCAAGTTGCTATAGCTACAGTCTCTGTAATTGGTGGGAGGTAGTCACTGTCTCATAATTGGCCTTATGTAAACTGTTATAATTCAACATGCAGTGCTTTTCACCAAGGAAACAGCAAATTAGTTTAGTGTCATATGGTCTCACGACAGCCATAGCATTAGCTTATGAGTGTATATCTAGACATTGTTACGTAAGTGTGCGTGTTTATGTTTGTGAGTGCCTATGACGGTGAAGTGCTGTTGTTGCAAATGTGCAAATGCATGCATTCATTTATGGATAGATCTATAATAGCACATCTGTGCAAATACAATAGATTTTTCATTGCAAACAGTTCATAGAGTTCATGCTATATACATTCATGCAACACTATGGTTCTGTGTGTGTCTGTGTGCGACATATTTGCATGTCAATAATCAATTCCTTGGATGAACCCTAAGGCAATGTTGCTGTACACTGGCAGCTGTAGTATTTTTAATGAAAATAAGGATAATGTATTATTAGTAATACATTGAATCTTGATATCTTTAGAGGAAAAGGAAGGATTGTAGGAAGGTGAAGGTCAGTGCAGTGTGAGAGGGAAACTGATACTCTGCAATGAGGAAGTTTGTACTATCAAGTTTCAGGTAGAAGTAGATAGATTTGTATGTCAATTAGTTTTATTTATTTAGTGATCCTGTTTCTTCGTTAACTTTGTTCACAACTGAATAGTATTCCCTTCATTTCTGTACATCATGAGATCATGTATATACAAATTGTAAAGATCATTAGCTGTTATTTCATAGTTCAGTGCTGAGCTATAATTTATGAGGCACTAAAATTAATCTTGTATTTTTGCTTTAATAACTAGTACAGTTATAGCACAGATAACTAAAGATAAAAAGGGGAAATATTATTATTTTTTGATCCAATAATGTTTTATGAAGTAATCACTTGCTGTTGAGTCTATGTGTACATCAAAGCAATAATCAAGTTCGCATTCCTAAGGAAATGCTGATAATATTATTGAAATATAAACAGTTCCAGTTGCATTATCAATATCAGTGGTTGTCAGGGACCAGTTGAGTTGGCAGTTACATGACTGAGAGAAATATTTAAATTAATGATAATCAGCTCCAAATCATAGTTAGATTTTAGCAGCAATGAGCATCTTGGATTATCTAAGATGTGTTGTTGCTAAAATTTGATTAGTAATCAATTATTGATTCATATCAATTAATAATGATAATATAATAATAATAATAATAATAATAATAATAAAGTTTAAGGAAAGGCTAAACCACCAATGACAATATCATAGATTATGAGTTTCTTTTATGACAATAATGGATACATAATATTGATAATAATATCATTATTAGTTTTTTAAAGTATAACGCAGCACTCCACCCGTTCATGATGCTGGTGGTGAGGGTGATGGTGATGAAAAGGGGGAGGGTGATGGTGATGACGATGGTGACCGTGATGGTGCCCCCCACCGCCTACATGTATATCAATGACAGGTGGTGGACCAAAGTGACCATGATGACCGTGGTGGTGACCATGGTGACCATGATGCCCATGATGGTGGTGACCTCCAAGGAGATGATGGCTTTCCATTTGTGTGAAATAATTAGTTTGCTTTCAAAATGATGTCACCAAAATACAAGCTGTATCTATTGAAGGGAAGGGAGAATTTGAAGGTGTCAGTTTATATATAATGGCTTTACCTCAGGGCTGGGGAATGTATTTTTGGGGAAGAAAACAATGACTTTTCTGATCCTTGAGATTTGCAGAATGAAAATAGGTGGGGCTCGATCACATGATTATTAACAATGACGTAATCTTTAAAATATACGCGCATGCGCAGTGTGAGATTGCGAGTATAAAAAGCCGGGAGATGAGCATTTTCTTTTCTCCTCGGCTCCTCCTTTTCTCCTCCTCCTCGAGCTAGTCCCCTCCTCCATTACAAGGCCTCTCTCCTCCTCTCTCCTTCAAATGTGGCGTCCTGCTACTGTTAGAGAGGAGGAGGAGTCGGGCCGAGTCTGATCATGCCATGCCTGGCACTGCTCAAGGGATTAAAGAGGAACTGTTACGAGCTATCGACGAATCAGGAAACGTAATTTTACTTGAAGTGTTGAAAGAGGAGAGATGTAGCCTTCGGTGGGGCCCTGGTGCCTCTTGTTTTGTCTCTTTAATTGTCCGCCATTTTGTTTTATTTGTTCTTTCCCTTCAGGTATTAGATATGAAGCTTCTAGTGAGTGTATTGAACGATTTGGAGAGTGTCCGGATTACAGCAGAAGATCTGACGGTAAGAGAAACGAGTATAATGTATAAATGATGATGGTAGGAATGAGAGGCTTTGTAGTTATGGGATGTGATGGTTTGGGATGCCAATTGGTTTATTTGGTATTTCAAGTGTGAAAATAAAATCATTTCATAATGATACTATGCTAGTATACTCATTCCTGTCCGTTTAATTTAGCATTTGTGATTTGAGTTGAGTCTAAAGGCGGTTTTACTAGTCCCGACATTACGTTGATGCTGAAGTTGAATTTGGTTCAACTCTAGCGTAAAAGCATGCGTCAAGGGGTCAAATCACCCACAATTTTGATTTAAAACTAATGACATGCTGGTCTAACGTTATATTGAGAACCTTCCTTAACTTAAGGCTCTTTTAGAGAATCAATATTAGTATACTGTGTAGTGGGTAATTTTTAAAGGGTAGATTTGGTTTGAGAGCCATTTGCCAAAATAAACCTGCCATTTTGTGTCAATTACTAAAATAACAAGCTCTTAGAAACCAAATGCTTGTCTAGCCTCTCTCTACCAACTTTAAAAATTTTTTTAAATTGAAAATTCATAAAAAAATTTTATTTCATCGGCATCAGCTCAAACTTGCTACACAGCATAAGAGCATGTATATGTATCAGAAAAAATTATAAAAATGGAGAATTCTTTCCTAGTCATTTTTGAAAAAATTGGTCACAATCACTGTACTATAGTACAGGGACTTGGACCTGATTTATGAGTAATAAAAAAATTTGTAAAAAATTTAATTCTGGTCGGAATTAGCTCAAACTTGCTACACGATGTAAGAACATGTATATGTATCAAGAAAAATTATAAAAACTTTTAGTCATTTTTGGTGAAATTTGACCAAACACCCTGTACTATTATAGTACAGGGACTTTGGCCTGTGTTTTGAGTAACTTTAAAATTTGTAAAAATATAACTTTTGATTGGAATCAGCTCAAACTTGTTACACAACATAAGAACACGAATGTGTTTATGTAAATTTGTTAAGTGTTGGCTACCTTCAAATGGTAAACATTTTAAAGCTTTTATTTCCTATTGTTTAGGTAACTCGTTTGGGTCTTTATATCAATAATGCAAGGCGTCAAACGAAAGACAAGACTCTCGCGAGACGCATGAAGGACCTTCTCAAAGAATGGAAGATACTAGTACAGAACTCACAGTCCAACGGGGTGGCCCCTCCCTCCCAATTAACCACGCCCTCTATAAGCCCCGCCCCTTTATCAACCACGCCTGCTTTAGCCCTCAGTGAGGAGCCGTCAAGCGAAAGTGGTCTAGTAACTCCAAAACAAAATCCCCAGCTCTCTCACCGGAAACTATTACTTAGCAAATTATCTGCTTTTAAGAAGCCCCAGACCACACCTACTGCCACGCCTCCCACTATAGAACCTATAAATACTTCGCATTCGTTACCTCTAGCCCCCCCACCTCCTCTTCATGTGAGTAATGGTAAACCTGGCAGTACTAATAACTCACTCACTATTCGTTATCCTCTGGATCGATTACCCAAGCAGCAAGAAACTCGAGGTCCATTGATAGTAAGCATATCTCTTAGTTTAATTAAGTTGAGTGGACGTAATGAAGCCCCGCCCACAGAAGGAGTGCCGTTGCTACATCCTGGGCTAAATGAGAGATCCTCTCCTTTGTCATTTCAGTCGTTGTCTCCCGTTTCGTATCAAGAAACTAGACCTTCACCTCTTCCTCCTCCCTCCCTCTCTCTCCCCCTCCCTCCCCCACCCTCTCTCTCTCTCCCTCCCTCTCCCTCGTCACTCACTCCTCCGCTCATTGTCTCCATCCCTCTCTCTCTCCTGACCAGCCCCACTCTTGTTCCTGCGGCTAGGAACCGCTCCCGA